GAGGTGGTGACCTCGGAAAGCGGGCATGAGCTGCCCCAGCCCTAGGCAAATTTGATGCTAGCTCCCTGACAGATCTGCAAACTCTGTGACAAAAGAAATTATCGAAGGAGTCTGAGTGGCAGAGACGCTGAGACGCCTCATCAACCGGAGTCGCCTGTCATTCCTCGGCTTCGCTTTGGAATACAAGGTCTCTAGCACTTTGGATCTCGTCTTCCGTCAGACCGTTGCGTAATCTACCTCACCACTCCCAAGATCTGTCTGTAGAGTCCATGTCTATACCTACCACACCTGAACCTTGCAAGGGAAATAGAAGATGCTGCCCCCGTTCAAGACTCGAAAAGTAGGGTGCCAGGGTGGTCAGAACAGTCGCGAGCATCCGCCTCCCGAAGACCCAGGATCACTCCGGCTTTCAATCTCCCTAGAAGTGCCGGGAGCATCCCTCTAATGCCCTCTTTTCAGAAGCACGAACACAACGTACACCTCAATGGCGAGACCACCCGCCTGTCGTAGACACTGAGGTCCTGCATGGGCAGCCACAAAAACTCCTTGCCTCGGCCTTGGCTTACAAAAACTCCAAGGGCCAAAGTCAAAGCCAAGTGGACAACCCTGTTCTTGGCTCTCGTTCTCGTGTAAAGGCGCTCCTCGATAGCCGCCTCGATCGTTCCGACGGCGGCCTCCTGCAAAGGGCCCCTGGGTGCCCCATCATTTGTGTCTTTTTTTGTTGCGTCACTTGCGTTTGGTTGCTGTGTCACCTGCGGTCTTTTTTCTGTAAGATGCAGCCCGGTTCGTACTGCTCCTTTTAGGGCTTCGGCCTGGGTTTACTCCTTCGTCGGTTTACTCCGTTTAGGTTTTAAGGTTAGGCTTTCTTTCAAGCTTACCTGTTATGTCATATTCCTTGTAGGGTTTACGCGGCTTTGACAAGTGAGCCTCAACGCTTACCGAAATTGGGTTCATACGGTTTTAGTGGCTCCGAGTTGTGATCTTCTCAACATTCTCAACCCCGGATAACCCAACTCCCCAAAACCCAAAAACCCATACGAGTGACGGTATAAGAACACGCCGGAAGCGTGTAGACACAAGTGACTCCCCTTCCGAGCCCCGGTGCCTAAGCCCTCTGACCAAAAAGCCTCGAACACGAAAACAACAGAAATCCCCGAAAAGACTGACTTTACTTGTCTATCCCTGGAGCGCCCTGCATCCAGCTCCTCGTATGCAGCGTGCAGGGAATCCAAGGCCTCGCACAAATGGATAGAACCAGGGAGGCTCAGGAAAGGATGTAAGATGACTTCGTTGGGGCCGGCCTGCCGCAGCTCCGTGTTGCTCGGAGGACGACCCAGGGTCCTGAAGCAAACGCATGCTCTTCTCCAGGCATTGAGTCTTAATAGTGCGCCTGTTGCTTTGAGTTCGTGTTGTTCTCTTGTACCAGGGAGCAGAATCGGAAGCTCGCTGGCAGAGCCCATGGCGGTCTTGTGGAACATTGCAACGGCCACCAGGCACCTCGGAGATCGCACCCTTC